CCGGAAACGGTTGTACACGCCACCGGAAGTCGGAAACTGTTGACGACAAGAATCCTGGGTTCGATAGCATTATGAGACTAGTGTCGCCATCCCACGGCTCGCATGCACTTCTCATTGGTCTAGGCGACAGCGCATGCTCACTTCAACCTAAGAGTTATGAAAAAAAAAATGACGAACGAGGCAGACCTCCCCCCTTGCCCCCTCTCTTGAAACCGTGAGCTATTTTTTGCTAGCGTGGACATAGACTGCGGACACTTAGACAACACTTTTCTCACTTGAATTGCCTCAAGTGTCAGCTTTTAGCAACACGGAGATGGCAGTCCGTTGGGCTTTTCAGAGAATCAGAGATGACGCGGCGATAGCGTGGGGTAGTTCTGGACTACTTCACTTTCTTTTCCAAGATGGCTGAATTTAACACTGTAGATCCTTGACTGAAGTACTACGGCTTGTATCCGATGGTATATCGACAGATTATAATTTTTTCTTCCCCTAAAACAAACATTTCGGGTTGAAGTTTTGGCAATTATATGACAATGATGCTACTTAGTTTGTTAATTTAGTCTGTCGTGATCGCCGACTACGACAAGAGGTGCAGATTTATGTTTTTAAACGAATTGATAAGCTCACACAACATAACAAGGTCAAGATCGGACTACTTTAGGGGTCAGCTATGGGAGGTCAAGAGGCCAGCTTCTTACTTCTGTATTGCTTTAAGGGTGCGGCTTATCGGGCTGGACTGGCCGAAATTTGACCAGTGGCTTGACCATTCATGCCGTGACGTCACTACCAATGGCTGTGGTTTTTATTAGTTTGAAAAAAATATATTATGATTCGACTAACAAAACGATTTATGAGGGTGAAATCCTGTGTTAGCGACCGGTGGGTGGTCTGATGTGTAGTAAATGGGCATTCAAGAGTTCATCAGTATTACTGCCAACATAATCGTTAACATTATCATCATTACCATCATCAACGTTATCCTCGTTATCAATATTATCGTCAGCTGTTTCATTTCAGTGCTCCGCTTGTGGTGGACATGACTAGGCTCCGTAAGCTACTACACCGGCTGGATTCCGGACAACGCTACACCGGCTGGATTCCGGACAACGCTAAACCGGCTGGATTCCGGACAACGCTACACCGGCTGGATTCCGGACAACGCTAAACCGGCTAGATTCCGGACAACGCTGAGCCGGCTGGATTCCGGACAACGCTAAACCGGCTGGATTCCGGACAACGCTAAACCGGCTGGATTCCGGACAACGCTGAGCCGGCTGGATTCCGGACAACGCTAAACCGGCTGGATTCCGGACAACGCTGAGCCGGCTGGATTCCGGACAACGCTAAACCGGCTGGATTCCGAACAACGCTAAACCGGCTGGATTCCGGACATCGCTAAACCGGCTGGATTCCGGACAACGCTAAACCGGCTGGATTCCGGACAACGCTAAACCGGCTAGATTCCAGACAACGCTAAGCAGGCTGGATTCCGGACTACGCTAAACCGGCTGGATTCCGGGCAACGCTAAACCGGCTGAATTCCGGACAACGCTAAACCGGCTGGATTCCGTACGCCCCTAAACCGACTGGATTCCTTACGCTCCAAAACCGGCTGGATTCCGTACGCCCCTAAATCGGCTGGGTATCGTCTTGAATCAGTCTTTTCTTGGTACATAGGCGGACAAAACTGCTGGTCCTCTTGATGAACGTGGGTTTTCCATGGGCCAAATCCTCATTTGTGTTAGCTCATTAGATAAAACAAGTACATTGTCCAGCCGACCAATCAACACGTGCTGGGCTCGTATTTCCTTGTTCTTACAACATCACTTGTGCCGAGTGGCCCACCGTTACCAAGAAACAGATCTAGCTTGCCCAGAAAACAATTGAGAAGAGTAAGAGGATCCGGCGGATGGGATAAAATCAGACGCGTGGAGTTATCGTTCTTGCTTCAGACGCGTGGAGTTATAGTTCTTGCTTCAGACGCGTGGAGTTATCGTTCTTGTTGTCACCAACACACGGAAGGTTGACGAGATAGCGAAACTTCCGGGTTCAAATTACGTCACTAATTCAACTATTTTAAGCTGATTATCTTGTCAAGTTTACTACCATACGTTAAGTTGATCATCGTACGTTAAGATGATTATCATACGTTTTTGACAATCATACTTTAAGTGGAAGAAACATCTATTTTTTTGTATAGCGTGATGATTACTTCAAGGTTGAAATTAAAAGAGTAGCTACTGATGTGAAACGGCTTTGAAGTTGGTGGTAGGTGTGGTAGTTCAGAGGGTACAGTCTCGGCTACCAATGGTATGTCCAGCTACTCATCAGGTGACACGTGCCTGGCTACCTATCTAAAGAGCTGCCTCTAACTATGAAACAGGTAGCAGTAACAGGGCTAATTAGTCATGTGATTGAGCATGAACAGTATTAATTGGATACATACTATCAACAATGATTGCTCGATGATAAGGGGTAAAGGCTATATTTTTGTTGAGACTTGGGTCTTCGTCAGGAAAAATACCCAATTTATAAAATATCATTTATGGATGCTAGATGGATTTTTATATACATGTACATGTGTAATGCTTCTATATCATAAAGGCTAGTTTAAACTTATCCTTGTATAGTGTTCTAATTGTAATTCCTGGTTACTTTATTTTTGCATCAAAAATTTTAATAAATTTATTATTCAGGCTACGAAATAAAGAAAAAATATTGTTTGGTGGTTGTATTCACATTTTGTTTTGTTTCTTGAAGGTTTTTTTTTTTTTTATAAAAAGTGTTTTTTTTTTTTCAAGTGCGCAGTAAATCTTGTGAGAGAATGTGCGTGGAAATTTTAGAAGCTGATGAAGACGAAGGTGGAGGGGATTACGTCGATACTTTGGGGGGTGGGGTGGGTGGTGAGTACACTTTAGGTGCATTAGCTCGGGAGGTAGGGATGATAAGAATAGTTTACCTGTGCTTGACCTTGTCTTTGCCCTTGGCCGAGATGATAAAGACGACGATGAGGATGAGGCTGACTTGTACACACTCGGGGCGTGGTAACCCAGGGGGCCGCTGGGGTAGTGTTCCGCCCCCATGTACGACGGGTAGGTGGGCACGGGGTGGGCGGTGTGGCCCGACCCGTGGTGATGGGATCCCAAAAAACTGGCCAGACCCTCGGGCCCGGACGACTCGAGCTTGAGCGAGGACTTGTACTCGCTGGAGCTGTACCCTTCTGACTGGGATCCGATCCCGATGTTGGTATTGTTCGTGATGGTGCTGCTGTTCGTGCCAGCGGTGGCGATGCTGCTGCTGATGCTGTTGTTGCCAGGCAACGTGCTGTTGTTGTTGTTGTTATTGTTGTTGTTGGTCTCCGGGGTGACGTCTTTGGGCGGGGTCGGCGGGAAGGAGACCAGCGATGACGTCACGATGGCCGAGGAGGCCGGGTGGACGGGGAGGGACGAGTGTCCCCCGGGGTGGGAGATGGACTTGGAGGCGAAGGTCGGGCCCATCCAGCCGGAGTGCGCGTGTGGGACCATGGACTTGGAGGTGTCGGGGATCCAGGGGTGGAGGTGGCCGTGGAAGTGGGGTCGACACATCTGGGAGCCGCCGCTGACTGTGAGCGAGAAACCAGAAAAACACATTAGCACCTTTTTAAAAAACACATTTAAAAACATATACAATTACATACAATCAGTATGGAAGAAAGAAAGAATGAATGTGTAAAAGCTAAATGAGGAATTAAAACTTCTTTTTTTTTAATATTAAAAAGTATAATCAGCACATACACATTTAAAAAGTAATTCGTATGATTAAAAATATTATGAATTAATTATACATCTTTAAATACAAATACACTTTTTAAATTATATTAAATAGAGGTGATATTCAAGCAAAAATTATAATTAACGAAATAATGAATAAATAAACTATTTGTGTAGCAGTCTTATAGGAGTAGTTTGCTTCTATCTCAATCAAAAGCAAGAAAAATGATAATTATTGCAGTCTTTTCCAAACATGACTAGACCTAGATCCCACGTTTTTTACTCTATAGTGTTAACCACTTCAAAAGTTGAACTAATTAAATCTTCCCCTCAAATCACTAATTAAACATCTCACTTAAGCAACTAATGAATTAAAACCTATTTGCTAATGTCTTCCCCTTCTTCCACCGCCGCCCCACCTCATCCCCGGGGGTAGAATGAGGTGGAACGGGTCGGAGGATTGAATTTGATTCGTCACGCCTCATTGGATGCGGCTTGGGTTGATTAAAAAAATGTTTTGCCATCAGGGGCGGCAAGCGAGGATTGTTTTCTCGGCCAACTGACTGGAGCAGACGACGACACGCTGATAAAAATCGTTGGCAAGATGGCGCCCCTGTTTATTTTTATCAACCAATCACGACGCAGAGTTTTAAAGCACGTGACATTTTATTTTTGCTCCACCAGCTCGTGGTGGAGAAATCGGAGTGAGATGTTCAGATGTTTTGGACATGCAAGATGTGTTGATGTTTTTGGACAGTGTGATGTTGTTATGTTTACGTTTTAAGTTCACCTATTGTAACTGCATTTAAAAAAAAAAATAATGAAAAAAAAAAAAAAAAAACCAACCCAAAGCTTACTCCACCATTTAAATTTGTTAGCTAGGGGTCGGCCATAAATGACGTCAAACTATGTGAACCATTTTTACCTTCCCCCCCACCCCGTGATCTCACACTCGTCACAAAAATGTCGTCACACATCGTCACAAAAATGTCGTCACATATTGTCACCCAAGCACGAACCCACAACCAGAAGTGTGACGTCACTTATAGACTCTAACAAATAGAAATGACCAGCGCCTAAAATAAATCAAATCAAATCTGAACTTTGACCTAAGCTACGTGTCGTCACGTGAATAAAATGGCGTTTATTTACTTCCCTTCTCGGGAAAATGTAAAACTAAAACTGCAATTGTTTTAATATTTAAAAAAATATTCCCTGACTTAAAACAAGCCATTACAGAATAAGGCAACACATGTTTCACAACAAAATGATGTCGGTCCCAGCAAACCTTGACTAAATGAACCCAGAAAGTACCAAACATGTTGTACAAGACTTCACGGTACCTACACATACTCGGTCTAGACTCTGGCCCCAAAACTCCCCACTCAGATAACTATTGTACAAGGTGCTTGCTACGACAAAGACAAGTGTACAGTTTGTATACAATATTACACCAGTTGAATGAATTTCCATTGTTGACACATTAGAACGAAGAAGAAGAAATATTTCCCTACATTATGTTATTGATTTAAAAAAAAAACAAATTGTATGTAAAAAAACAAATTGTAAGTAAAAATTATTTAAATGTAGTCATCCATACTTCATGCAGTACGTTGGTCGCGTGCTGGGCTACAACCAGAACTACTACACTACAAATGTAGCGAGTTTATTATGAGCAGTAGAGCGACATTTGTCTTTCCTTTGATAACTATTTTGTTTGATCAGATATACAAGATGAAGAAGTGTTGGCTAATTTTATGCATGAGCGACCACCGCGAACCGGCTGGTGTAATATTAATAATGGGGCGCGAGTATGGCTGCGACCTATTTCTTATAGCTGTGAGTACGCCCCAACTGTGGGCGCGAGTATGGCTGCGACCTATTTCTTATAGCTGTGAGTACGTCTCAGCTGCGGGGCACCACAGACCCGTGTATGTTGTGACGCGACACTTGCTGACAACCTGGCACGCCAGCACGTTAGCTGCTTTGCCAGATTTTTTTCTCACCCCATTTCCGGGTTGTCGTCACGTGATCTATAGTTTCCTCCCCTTGCTAATCGGCTGTTAATGATAAACTTTACCCACGTTTACTTGCTGGGGTAAAAGTTTTTCAAATTTTCATCTGGCTATATAACACCGGTATATACAAGAGTATACAGCAAAATACTGAAATATACCGTGGTAATCAACACCACCACTGCTATATAAATCATCAACTAAATTATCTGGAATTTCCGCCGTGACATATATTTTGCCACACTGAGGGGTTAATATAACTACACTGTATAGTATACAACCCAACATAAATACATTCAATCCCCCCCCCCACCCCTTTGGGTTAATTGATTTATAATAGTTTATCTAACTAGATGCCTCTTGCTGTACATAATATACACAAATATATTATTAGAAAATATGAAACTGTCACATAGCCCATATGTATGGTCGTAAGTTAGCTTTACGTTTCGCCCCCATACAAATTGACCATTTACTTCCCCATAGCGTCGACCATACATTTTACCATACATCTAGCCTAACATAGTTGACCCTTTCCTTCGCCTACCCATTTCTAACCAACCAACAAACTACAAACAACTCACTCTCTCTCTCTCTCTCTCTCTCTGCTCGCCTAGGCGCATGCGTTGAATTTGTTTTGAAAACGATATCGAGAAATGCGATAGTTGTTTTTAATGATTTCATATCGGACCTTATCAATATTTCTGTTTTATTTTTGCAGTTGAAGGTCAAACAAACCAGCCTTATCTCCCCTGGGTATGGTTATTGAACTGGTTTAGTGCCACTGATAGTTTTATTTTTTATTTGTTGGTGGAAAAATAATTGGTAGCATAATTTAAACAAAAAAATAATTAAAAATAATATTAATCTGTATCTAATGCATGCTTACATTGTAGAATTAATATTACATTAATGTTCCAGTTTATATAATGTAAATGGTACAATGAATATATAACAATTGTAATTACAATTTGATAGTGAGCCTAGTTATTATATTTGTCTAACTGGAAGGGTAATTGGTCCATCTGTAATAAGTAAGTGGCCAAGTTAATTTTATGTAATTGGCCACGCTAATATTATGTAATTTTCCCCAGGTAATATGGTGTAATTCACTCAGCTTATAATGCCTTCTGCTCAGCTAAACAGGAAAAAGAATGCGAGAAGATAAAAAAAAAAAAAAAACTTTCGTTAAGAATGAAAAAAATGACATGGTTGGGAAACAAAAGAAAAAGTGTCTGGGAGGGGAGGGGGGTGTCTTGGAGGTTGTGGGTTAGATGGGGGGGGGGAGGTCTGGGAGAGTGTGGGTTAGATGGGGGGGGGAAGCAGGGACTATTTAAATCACCAACGTAATGGGAGATAAACACCGCTGGCCTGCGCTGCTCTTGTTTGTAAATTCTAGACTTGATTGGCCGTGTCTGTATGTATGTGTGTCTGTCTGTATGTGTGTCTGTCTGTGTGCGTTTCTCCCCGGCCGGTACGTACGTGTGTACGCATACAGTGACGCCATAAATAAAACCGTATGCGGTTCGCCCGGCCCGGCACACCCGGTAGATTTGTTTTTATTCTCGTTGTAGATTCAGCTATTTTATTTCGTTTCTTTTTTTATTTTTGCTCCAAGTTTTAAGTTTTTGATCAACTTGTTGAAGCAGTGTGCGAGTGAGGACTTTCATATTTTATTTATATTCGTAATTTTACGGTATTTGGTGTACTTCAAGTATAATGAGCCGCATTTGCCGAAAAGTGAAAAGTATAACTTATCCACATTTGCCGAAAAGTAAAAAAAAATATAACTTGTATTTTTGCCCAAAAGGTAATAAATACAACTTGTCTAAATTTTCCCACGCTACATTCGCCGAATTATGACAAATTACAATTTTATCAAAATTCCTAGTTTCAACAAATCTGTAAATACTTAACAATTAAAAGTTAAGCCGAAAATTGAACGACAATTCTCTAAAACAACCAGGCTATTGTAAACCCATTCTTACTAGACTTTGAATTTGTACATTAAAAAACGCGTCACCAAAACAAGCAAGACAAATTTGGACCAAGAGCTGAACTTTTATCAGCTAGGAAAGAAAGAGTTCTGACTTTTCCGTTTGAATGGTTTGAATATCCGGATAGTTCCGTAGCAAGGTTTCCGTATATCCGAGTTGTCGGTGCACGAAGGTTCCTCAAGTGGCCAGTATTTGAGAACAACTTAGGATAGATGGCCAAGTAAATATTGGCCAATTGTGCAGGAAAAAAAGATGAAGACTATAATTTCATTAATGAGAACAAATAGCTCGAGCGAGCGCAAACAAGGTGGTCTGGCTGTAAGGGCGGCTGGCACTAGACCCTCGGGGTGGTAGTGGGGTGGGGTGGGGGGGGGGGGGTAGATCTCTGGGTGGTGTCTGGCACTAGACCCTAGGGGTGGTAGTGGGGTGGGGTGGGGGGGGGGTAGACCTCAGGGTGGTGTCTGGCACTAAACCTACGGGGTGGTATTTTGGTAGTGGGGGGTGATAGACCTCAGGGTGGTGTATGGCACTAGACCTACGGGGTGGTAGTGGGGGGTGATAGACCTCAGGGTGGTGTAGGGCACTAGACCTACGGGGTGGTAGTGGGGGGGGGGGTAGACCTCAGGGTGGTGTATGGCACTAGATCTACGAGGTGGTAGTGGGGGGGGGGTAGATCTCAGTGTGGAGGGATGGTACTAGACCCTCGGGGTGGTAGTGGGGGTGGTATAGCTAGGGCATGTAGTTGTTGGGTGGCGCTCAGACCTGCTTACAACTGGCTGAACACTTGGGCCAACTGAACCATCTAGATAAGAATTTTATTAGATAAATAAATCAACATTA